ACAGCTTGTGTCTCTGAGCTGTCCCTCAGAAGGAGACCTAGGAGCATTGCTGGTTTTCCTTAGCCCTGTGGTGCTATTTTCAGGGCTGATGGAGAAACAGGTGCTCCCAGAAGACTGCAGAAATCACATTTAGCCACGTACCAAAGAAGATCTGCATGGAAAGCGAAGTGTTGGTTAAGTGGGAGAACTGGCTGCTGGTCTGAATCATGCCAGATTAGCCATCTCCTCTGGGCTTGTCTCCTTGGGAAGGTCAAGGTGACTTGATTGGCACTTCCATCCTGCTTCCTGACCACATACTTTGACTGAAGCACAGTGGTGCTCAACTGTGATATGCTGAGGGCCAACCTTTGGCTAGGACACTTTGTCATCACAAACCACTGTCCCCTTCCAGGTCTCCATCTCCTTTACATTGCCACAAAGACATCTGCCAAAGGTCAACACATCCACAGATGCTTAGTAAATCTAGATCTGATCTCACTAAGGTCTCGGGTGAGAAGGGTAATACCTCACATCCGATGTCTCAAAGCAAGACAGCTGAGTTCCTGTTGCAGCTGATAGGTAGAGGTAGATATCTCCAGCAGATGGGATGGTGATGACTCATCTGGGCTGTGTGAGGAGCGATGAATCACTGTCTGGCAGCGGTTAGGTCTCTCCCTTGCCTATGACACGCATGGTGGTTGTGGCAGCCGAGGCCCATGACATCCCCCGTTTCTGTGGGTAAATCTGCCTAGACCCCGAGGAAACAGCCTGAACTGGAAGACAGCAGCAGCCTGCAGGTCCTGGGTGTGACATTTCTAGTTACCTCCTTGAGAGTGTTTCTGCTCATGTCGGGTTTTCCAGGCAAAAGGAGAGAAGATCCTAGGGTCTGAAGTAGAGGCAGGATAAGACCAAAGAGGAATTAACCCCTGGGCCAACTGCTTATAAGGTGGAGAGGACTCTCCATCTTAAAGAGCCTTTACCACAGCCTCCCCATCTCTGGGAAAGACCTGCCACCTCCCCACCACCTGGCCCAACCTGAATGTGCAACCTGACCCAAGCTGAATGAGGCTGGATGCCGGAGAATCGGCAGGACTTGCTCAGCATCAAGGCAGTGATGTGGCAGGGACTTGCCCTGCCTGTGTATGGCTTTACCTGAAGCCGCTCCTTTTTTTCTTTAATTCATCATCTCTGCTTTCTTTCCACTTCTTCTGTTCTTCTTCTCAGCTTCACAGAGACAACTGGGCGGTGAAAAACCTCATGCAATTCAACAAGGCCAAGTGCAAGGTCCTGCACCTGGGGAGGAATAACCCCAGACACCAGGACAGGCTGGGGACTGACCTTCTGGAGAGCAGCTCTGCAGAGAAAGACCTGGGTGTCATAGTGGATGATAAGTTGACCATGAGGCAGCAGTGTGCCCTCGTGGCCAAGAAGGCCAACGGAATCCTGGGCTGCATTAAGAAGAGCATCTCTAGCAGGTCGAGGGAGGTGATCCTGCCCCTCTACTCAGCCCTGGTGAGGCCGCATCTGGAGTACTGTGTCCAGTTCTGGGCTCCACAGTACAAGAGGGATGTGGAGCTGCTGGAGAGAGTCCAGCGCAGGGCTACGAGGATGATCAGGGGCCTGGAACATCTGCCCTATGAGGAGAGGCTGAGGGAGCTGGGCCTGTTCAGCCTGGAGAAGAGAAGGCTGAGAGGGGACCTGAGCAGTGTCTAGAAGTACCTCAAGGGAGGCAGTGAAGAGGAGGGTGCTGGTCTCTTTTCACTGGTGGCCACCGACAGAACTAGAAGAAACGGCCAGAAACTGAAGTACCAAAAGTTCCACAGGAACTGAAGGAAACATTTCTTAACAGTGAGGGTGCCAGAGCACTGGAACAGGCTTCCCAGAGAGGTTGTGGAGTCGCCTTCTCTGGAGATCTTCCAAACCCCCTTGGATGCAGTCCTGTGCCACGTGCTCTAGGTGACCCTGCGTGTGCAGGGGGTTGGACTAGATGACCTCTAGAGGTCCCTTCCAAGTCCCTTAAGCATTCTGTGATTCAAAGGTCTTTTATGCAGGGCCATGAGTTGTTGCGGGGCTCCCTGTTGCATGGGCAGCTGTCACACACAATCCTGGTGGTCTCACTTTCTTGTTGCAGGGATCTTTAATGGTCCTCCTGCCATCATCCATCGGAGTTCTCCCGTCATCTCCAGGAGGTAATATTCCAGCAGTTAGCATACCAAAGACATCTTATTGTTCCCCTTGGATTATTTTCTGTTGGGTTGGAACAGATGTGGCAGCAAAGGGCTTGTTTTTCACCCTGTGTACACATATCCGTGCACATCTTGCCTGATCATACAGGCACTCCAGAGCTTCATCCTCTGCAAGCAGAAGATGAGCACACCAACATTGTGCTGGCATATTCAGGAGAACTGCACGGGCACATGCGGCTAGCAGTTCTGGCACCTTGGGCAACCTATGCTGAGAGGTCTCAGAGTGACTCAAGTTTGGGCTGAGGCCCACACTCATGGCACAAGAGAAAATAGGCTAAATACTCTGGCATCCAGGAAGGAATAAATTAAAAAAGCCTATTTATTTCCAGTATTAGCTGATCTTTGAGCATCATCATCTGAAAAGGACAATAGATGTCACATCCAAGGACAGGTGCTGGGCTTCTATCAACTCGTGACACACAGCAGAGAGCTGCAGCATCCCTTAAGGCCACGTCCCCTCCAACTTCCTCCCTGTTGGCTTTTGTGTGCTCCACTGCCTGGAGGTGGGTTTTCTGGAAGGATAATTTAAGCAGCAGCATTTTTCTGCACACACAGGGAGAGGACATAATGTAGCAGTGCAAGCACCACTTCGATCCTCTCCTTTTCACCTTCTTTCACCTTGCACACCAGAAATATTGCTAGGGGTGGGATAATGGCTTATATATATTAAGGCTCAGCCTAGTGGGGGTCGTAAATTGACAGTAAACTGGAGATGCTGACGAGGCTGAGCTCCTGCTTGGCTGGCATGGCATGGATTTGCTGGCCCGGCATCGTTCCGAGGACTGCTCATTGGAGCACGGAGAGCTCCCTTGGGCTCTACGAGCTTTAGTGGCCACCTTAAGGATTCACCCAGTGCCCGCTCAGGTGATTTAGCTGTGACATTATATACGATGCATGGGCCTCTGAGTGCCATTTAACCATCGCCCTTGCTGGCCAATTAATTAGTAGGCCCAGACCAATGGGTCTGGGAGCCCACAGTGTCCATCGTGCCCCATGGCTGACGCGGAGACGATACCGCACTCAAGGTGAAGGTTAAACTGGTTATGGCATGTGAGGGATACATTGGAATCTGCAGGCAAAACCGGTTTGTTTTACCAGATTAGGAAGCACCTAGAGCCAGAACAGGGCATGAGGTAAGCCAGGAAGCTTTCCATCCCCAGGGCTTTTTGGAGAGAGGTTCAAAATAGCTAACGCACATGGAGGTGTCCTCGATGCTGCACAGGGCACAGCCAAGGGCCTTGGGTCTGGGGGCAACCAACTCGACTGGTGGTGCAACCCAGCACCTAGTGAAGGAGGACAGACATATGGGTGCCTATGGATCGAGGAGGACCACGGGGGACAGTGACTTCTGCCTTCAGCCTAGGTTTTGCTCCTGGGTTCCCCTTGGCCTTGGCTCTCCGAAGATGCCCCAGGCTCACTGCAGTCAAGGACAGGCTAAACCAAAGGTCTTGGCCCCAGCTACCCACGGGCAAAGCGGAGGCACCCTGGCGACTTGCTTGACTTGCAGTGGAGGTGTCTGCTCCTCACGGGAGGTGGGGGAAAAGCCAAATAAACAACTGCCGATTGCCTAAGAGGGCAGAAGGAGCAGCTGCCGCGCTGCCTGCCGCCCTGGCGCCCGCAACCGGCAGACCCGTGAGTGCCAAATATTGAAGGCATCTGTGGAGGAGTGAAGCGACGGCGGCAGGAGCCACCTCCTCCTGCAGGAGCCCGTGCCGGGCCTGGCGCAAGGCCGAGCACACAGGCAGCCTCATTAGGGCCATGTGCGCCCAGGACACAAACAGGCTGTTCCGTCGCCGCGCTCAGGAACCGCCTGGTCCGTCCCAGGTGCCGTGACCGTATTTGGGGACGAGGGACCCCGCCGGCGGCGTGCACACGGGGACCTCTCACAGCCGCGGTGGTGTCTGAGGGCTAACCCTGCTCAGGGCACCAGTGGAGACACAGAATTGGGCATGAGATTTTGGCTGAGGACCCAGGGAAAACCCCGTTTTTGCCTGGCAGCAAAAGGGAAGTGGAAATGTGGGACAACCGGGTGTCAAGTCAGATCTCCCATAGCATCCTTGGAGACCTGGGAAGCAGGACGCCTCGGATGTGGGAAATGTGCTAGGGAAGGACATTTGTCCCTTGGGAACTTCCCTCAGGCGGTGGGAAAAAAAAGGCAAAAAAACCCCAAACAAGCAAACAACAACAACAACCTCAGATCATGACACCACCATGCACGAACCCTGTCCAGGCTACTCATCCTGCTGCCCATGGCTGTTCCTGCGCCCGTGCTGCAGGACCTTGAGGATCATCCTATGCTGACACCTCTGCCGAGGGTCACCATTTTGGGACTTTTCCAGGAATAAAAGCTCCTCTTGCTCCCTGGCTGTTTCCCACAGGAGCAGCCCCACGTGCCGCTTCGCGCTGTCGCTTTGCATCGCCACTTCTGCGCGTCTCTGCAGCCCAGACACAAAAGCGCTGCAGTGTCAGCCCCGGCAAGGCAAAAGTGGGTCAGGGAGAAACGCAGCAGAGCAGTGACTCATCCTGTGGTTCATTGGGCAATTCGTGGGGTGGGGGGGAAAAAGGGAAGGAAAAGCCGCAGTCCCTTGGAAGAGGAGGGTGTTTCTGAGCCTTTCCTTCCTCTGCCCCCTGCTCCTACCATCTCTTGCATCAACAGAACGCTGGATGCTCAGTCCTTAACACCAAGGAGTCCTGGTCCTCGGCGGGGAGCATCTCTGGGCCCAGTGTCCCATCAAGACTGAGCGTCCTTGTTGGGAGCGTGGGGTCGGAGCGCACCCTGCGCTGCTGGGGGCGCGGAGCAGGGCCGCCCGCCGCGGTACCGGCATCGCTGTCCCCGCGACGCCCAGGGCGGCCCTGTGAAGAGAGGGACGTGGCCGGCGCCACCCGCGGCTTCCTCTGCTCGGAAGCAGCCTGGCTGCAGGGCGGATTTCTCCCGCACCGCCGCGGAGGAAACGGGCTGGCTCCAAGCCCGCGGGCGCAGCAGCGCTCGCTGCTGGCCCTGGCTGCCTTCTCCTGGCATGGGGCGAAGAGGATGCTCTGCTGCCACGGTTTGGCATTGCTGGATCCCTCCCCAGGGCTTCTGCACGGGAAGCATTTTCTTTCCAGCAAAACAAAAGCAACAACAAAAGAAAGAGTAGCATAAGCAATAGGAATGGCCCATTCCCGATGGAGGGTACGGGATTGGATGGGACCTGACCTCTCTGCGAGGTTTCCTCGCTGGAGACACTTGATAGCGAGGGGAGGGCAGGCAGGTCTGCCCGTCTGCCAGTCCAGCCTGCAGGAGCAAGGCCACCGCGAGGGCCTCGAGATGATCCTGCAAAGCAGCAGCGGTGGCCACAGGCGCAGGAACTTTCCCTGGAGATGCAGGAACATTTTACAGATAGTGCCGAAAAAAACTGTTGTAGCAAATTTCCCTGTGCTCTTCTCTCTGACACCCCACACTCACCCCCTGCAGGGGCTTTGGGTGGAACTGAAACTGGCTGGCGCTGAAGGTCCCGGGGGCTGATGCCCATCAACAAGGCCCCCTGACACTGGGGGGTCGCACGGGGGAAATGGTCTCCGAGTTTCCCTTCTCCGAGTGAAGCCTCCTGGTGGCATCATTATCGCCAGCAAACGGGGCTGTTTGGGCAGGTTTCTCCAAGGAGCCCCCAGGTGGGAAATACCAGCAAACACTGGGATCTCCCTTGGGAGATCCAAAGATCTCCCTTGCATGGAGGTCGGGGCTGGATAACACCGGTGACATGGGCTGGAGACCCCCCCTTTCCCCTCCCGCCACCCAAGGGCTGGTGGTTCCGCTTTTCCTTTCTCACTTCCCCTTCCCTGCCCTCTGCCAGCGCCGCTTTGCCCTTTGGGGAGCCCGCGGAGCCTCCCCGTCCTCCTGCCCTCCACGTTCCCGTCTCTCGGCAAGGGAGAAAAGGACCCAAATGTTTATAATAATATTAATAATAGTACTAATGTGTTGCTGGACAGCCTGGGGATAGGTACCTGGTGCAAATCTGTTTGGGGGAGAGTCTTACTTTCTGCGATCTCTGCCGAAGGCAGCAGGATCAGGCCCTTCCTGCGTCAGGTCCCTTTTTTGCAAGACGTCAGCTTGGCTCAAACCACGCAGCAATGTGATGCTGATCAGGACTGATGTCAGGGAGGGACGGAGGGAAACGGGCCAGGCTCATGCCATGTGGTGCCCAAGTGCTGACCCGGCTCCTGACCATTCTTTTCTGCTCTAAAGCGCGGATTTTTCTGCTTTGAAGCGCAGATAGGGACCACTGCTATTCTCATAGAAATCAGTGGGAGATTTGTCATTCATAGTCTGATCGCATGAGTCTAACGCGATGTATAAATAGGTTGTAGTCACACTTACATAACGCTGTCTCATTTATGATCTTAAGCCTAAGGGAGAGACGTCTCTGCCCCAGCCTTTTCTTCCTGGCAGAAAACATCTCTCAAAGCCCATCCTGTCTCGGGGGCCGGGTGATTAGCTCAACGCCAGGAATTATTGCTAAATTCAGGATTAAGGGTCTCTGGGCTTCTCCTAGCCCAGTGTGCAGTGCCGGGTGGTATCTGCATGGTCTTGGCGCCCCGTTGTCTCCAGGAGGGAAAGCCGTAGGGCTCTGGGAGAAGATATGGGAGCAGCAGGCGCCGGGCGAGGGAGGCCAGCAGGGTCTGAGAGTTGGGAGAGCTTGATGGCGGCATCGGAAAACAGCACGGGGAGCCCGTGCTGCTTCCCGTGTTGGGACGTTGCGTTTGCTGGTGACCCCGCAGCAAGGCGTCCCTCAGAGCCAAGCACTCGGGCCCAAGCACCGGCACCAGGCGGGGAAGGGCTCAGCCCCAGCCACACGAGTCTGCAGGGCTCAAAGCAGCCCCAGGGCAGCGCTGGAGAAGGGCTCCGGCCGCATCCCGGTGTCCCCGGGATGCCCCTGGATCACAGGTGCCGGCCTGGGGCTTTTGCAGCTGCCGAGGAGGAGAAATGCACATTACCCCCTTCCTCCTCCTCCAACCTTGCTTGATTTCTCCCCGTAGCCTCCCCAGGCAGGTTCCTCACGATTCCCCTCCATCCATACACAAACGTGCCCTAAAGCCAGAAGGGAGTGTCAATGTGTTAGCACAACCCCCTGAGCCCTCCCAGTGCGGCGCTGCCAAGGGCAGGATGCTCCCATTCTGGAGCAGGATGCAGCTCCCTGCATTGCCCATTCCCACATTCCGGAGCGGCCAGGAGAAAGGAGGCTCCAAGCAGGGATTGCACCAGTCACCCGGTGCTGCGGTTCGTATTGCAGCGCTTCTCTGGGCAG